CACACACGAGAACACTGTAGATCTGCAGTAGCTTACAACAGGATAACGGCTGTAAAGATCATATCCGACCAGGGCGTAAGTTCCATCTTTGAACGGTCCCTTGAAATCCACAGAGATTGTATGCCAAGGACCTGGTGGCAATGATGTTGATTGAAGAGGCTCGTCATAGGTTCGATCATGAGTGACTTGACAGCTTTGGCAATTCTGTACAGCTTCTTTACATAGTTTAGCAATTCCAGGAAACCAAATCTTTTCTTGAAGAAGTTTCAGCGTGCGGGTCTCTCCCGAGTGCCCAATCTTGTGTGCTTTCTCGACAAATCTTCTTCGACTGCTCAAAGGCGGAATTACTTTGTCCTTACACAGGATGATTTCTCCAACAACAGATAAGTCGGACGCAACTCCGAGGAATCTTGAAACTCTTGGATCTTTTCCATGTTTCTTCCAGAGGTTTCTTTGAATTACTTCTTTTAGGAATTGGTAATCATTGTCGTCTTTTGCCATTCTGGAAAGGTACTCGTTGTCTTCAGAGACAAAAGTTCGTAATCCTTCTTCTAACTCGTTCACGGACTTCACCATGGGAACATCATCATATCTCCTCGTCAGGTGTCTTGATCCATAATCCGCAATGTTCTCAGCTCCTTTCTGATACTTGACCACATAGTCTAAACCTTGAATGGCGAGAATTTGTCGCTCGATACGCAGTGGTGCTCTTGAGGTTGGATTGTTGAAGAGATGTACTTTGGCGCTCCAACCAAGTATTTATAAAGGGCGTCAGCACAAGCAAACTTGATCGCAGCTGCTTCTAACTCAGTCTGTCCGTATCTTGTCTCAACGTCAGTCAGGGCACGGTTGGCTATGTGACACATTTTCCACTGTCCGTCGTCACCTTTCTGGCATAAAATAGCGCATAGTCCTCCACGAACGTTGCTCGATTTCTCTGTTTTCTTTCCAGCATCTACGTATATTCTTATCGGTCTTTCGGGAACAAAGTAGGAAAGGGTTGTTTGCTCCGTCAAACTGTTCTTCAAGCTATCGAAAGCTTCCTGTTCTATAGGTCCCCAATGGAAGGTTGAGGTTGACTTCGTTAGCTGTCGCAGCGGTGCGGCAATCAATGTGGAGAGCCCAGTTCAAAAGAAGGAGTAAGAAGCTTTCTGCAGATGGTGGGATATATGTCTCGATTTATCACCAGATAAATCGAGACATATATCCCACCATCTGCAGAAAGCTTCTTACTCCTTCTTTTGAACTGGGCTCTTCACATTCTTGCAACGCTTTCACTTTCGCCTTCGATGGTTTGATTCCTTCTCCCGTAAATCTGACACCATAGAACTCGACTTCCTCCTTTCCAAATTCACATTTCTCCAATCTTAATGTTAATCCATGGTCTTGCAGACGTGTTAGGACTAGGTCAAGTGTTCTGTTTTGCTCGTTTCGATCTTTCCCACCAATTAGACAGTCGTCTCGATTACTCTTTACGTGAGGAATTCCCGCTAGAATCTCATTTATTCGTCTGTCGAATTCATCTTGGCTGGTTATCCATCCCTGTGCAGGCGTTTCGTGCTTCAAATTTCCCCAGGGCGTGGTCACTACTAGGTATTTCTTGGAATCCTCGTCAACTTTCATTTGGTGATAGCCATTGTTCATATCAAGATGTGAAAACACTTTGCAGTCTCCAAACGTTGCCGACAATTCGTCTACTCGTAGACCAGGTACGATGCGGGTTCTCGATGCTCCTTTGTTTGCCACTCGGAAGTCTGCAGTGATGCGAACATCATCGTCTCCTTTTGGTGTGATGACAAGTGGACTGGCATATGAAATCGGTTCTCCTGGTTTAGTCCAAGTCATTATCCCTTCTTGAACAAAGTAATCCAATTTCTTCTTGGTTCTTTCTTCGAGATGGTGTGGGACAGGTCTTGGAGGTTGTATGACTGGTTTTGCATCGGCATTCATCTCGATATGAGTGAGGATTGGCTCTCCTGTTTCAGGATTCTTTAATGTCCCTATACCTTGGAACATCTTCTTATGTTTCTGCAGGATCTTTCTGAGCTCTTCCTGTGGTACTATATCATCAGGTGTACACTTTCCTTCTTTGTCATCGCACTTTCTCGCGTCAACTTTCTTCACAAACTCTCCCTCAGCGCTGTATTTAATCATACCAAGATTCATCAGTGTTCTTTCTGATAATAATGGGAATTTATGAATACCGTCCTCAATAACGTAGAGATCAGTGAGTGTTTCTGCGTTCTTGTTTGACAACTTTGCATCTTTAATTGTAGCTATAACTTCCAGCTCTTCGCCATTCAGGGCGTAGATCTTCTGTTTTGGTTTCTTTATTTGTTTCTTGATCTCAGGATTTGCTTCATGAATTTTCTTGAAATCTTTAACTGAGATTAGGTCGACATCAGCGCCGGTATCTGGATCAACGATAATCTTGGTTCCACAGATGTAAACAGGTAACAAAATGTTGCTAGTATTTTGTCCTTTTACTGCCCGTATGCCCAATTTCTCGCTCACACATTTGTAAAACTCAGGATCGGAATCAGAAGAGTCGACAGAGAATCTTGTTGGAAATCATTCATCACAGAACCACCATGCAAGCCAGCAGCTTTTACTTGCTTCGATCTGCTGTCGGGTTTTCTTGAGAAACACTGTGCACGGAAATTACCAATCTTTCGACAATTGAAACATTCTTTTTCGGCAGCTGGGCATGTAGAATGTGATTTGTCTGCAGGTTTTGTTATCTTTCACGTCGCTGACGGGTTTTCTCGGGTTTTCGCGATTTCTAAACGAGTACAGCTTTTGCGATTTTCCTCTCGAGAATCTTTTATTAGCTACTCTTCGTATTTCGAAATCTTTCTTAATTTCCATTTTCATTTCGTTTCTTTGTGCTTCGACGTCTTGCTTTGTAGTCGCATACTTTAAGAAGTCTTCGAGTGTCCAGTTGTTTTCCAACGCTTTCGCTTGAAGGCTTTCGTCTTTGCACGTTAATATCAAACGGTCTAAAATCATTTCTTCGTCGTATCCGTGAAAGTCACACTCTTTAGCGAGTCGTCGAAGTTCGAGTTCGTATTGAGCAATAGATTGATTCGATCGTCGAACGGCTTTGTTAAATCTAAACCTCGCGTGCAATCTCGTGTTTTTCGCCACGTATACATGCTCAATTTTCGCTATAAGCTTCTTGTATTCGTCCAAGTCGCCTTCTGGTTCAGCTCCGTTCTCATCTATCGAAAGGATTTTGTCGCCACCATGAACTAACAACGCTGCTTTCATATCGTCTGGCTTTACAATGTAGAAATATTTCATTTGAATCTCGAGTCTTCGTCTCCACAATTGCCATTTGCATGTGGTTTCTAATATGTCTTCGTCTGGCTCGAATTCTTCGATTTTTAACGCCTTTCTCGATTTAGGAGGCATACTAACTTTGTTTATTCCTCGTCGCCAATGTTATAAACTCAAATATCGGTTTCACTAAATTGTATTGATGTGGTTTTTGACACGTACTTTACCGACTACATACACAGTATATTATTCTAAGTCTAAAATAGCATTCTATTTTTATGGGTTTTTTACTTTATTAACATAACAATATACTAGATAATCTAACTAATAATACGCTGCATAATCAGCTACATAACTTAGTAAGTTCCAACTGAATGAGTTCTTAATATTATAAAACGTTCATAATATTCTCACAACAATGAACATTTCAAAAACAAAGACTCCGACAAACCTCTTTCATTATTTCTCTGAAACAGTTGGAGCTTAGAAGAAGGTTTACAGCAGGAGCTACAGCAGGGGTGGAAAATGTATCGGACCACGGAACCATTGGTCCCAGAAAATTTTTGGGTTCCCTGAAAATATTTCAAGTTCCAGTAGCAGAGAAAGAAAATTTGAAGCATGTTTTGATAAAAATTAGATTAGTAGTAAAATTTTGATAAGCGAAAGAAATTTAGACAGGAAAGTAGAACATCTTTAGCACAAAATGGTATGCTTAATTTCAGGTATATATCTGTTGTATACATGCGTGTTTGTGTATGTATATTATGTATGTCAAAACATTTTGCATATTATAATTACACAAGTTCCATCGATAAGCCTTAGTTGCTTTTGGAATGAATGTAAAGATTATATATATTGTTTAAATAAAAAAAAAAAAACAATGATCAATTATAAATTATGGTAGAATGCATGAAAGAAGAAATGGAAATTGAAAATATTTAGCTACAGAATTCCACAAAACAACATGTGAAACAATCAAACAAGTTTCATGAATATCAAAATTATACAGACTACAACTTAATAATTCATATTTACCTCAATATTACAGTAAGAGGATTAGGCTTGTGTTCACTGTTCAGAGATAAATAAACTCATCTTTAAATAGTTTTTATGAAGTGATACATTTATATGAAATATCTTATTGATAATACCTGGTTGTTCATGTACATTATTTGACAACAGATCAACAATTGGTATATTATATATTGGGTATTCAGTTATTCACAATTAAATTTGTTGGCATTCGCTATTTACAAAGGAATATACTTCATGTAACCTTGAATCAAGCAAGCCCACTGCAGTTAGGGTCAGTGGTTAGGGCGCTCTAGTTATACTCTAGCGCTTTTAAACATGCTTTTCGGTATATTGACAGTGTAACACAGTTTTACATACATGGCAACATATTTTTAATGTCAGAAATCTGAGAAATGAATATGCTCTCAAAGAAAGCACATAATAGCGAAGTATGCAAAGTTATCTGCAGAGTAAGTGGTTGCAAAATTTAGATTTTAGCAAAGAATTATTGACAGCATCTGATTGACAAACATCCTCAGGAAAATTTTTTAGACTTGTCCCCACATGGTCAAACAAAGATTAACTTTTCTGAAACCCCAAAACAAACGTTGAAAAGACCAATAAATGAAGAAGCACCATCTGACGTTTTTAGTAAGAAGCAGTCAAAAACAACCAGCAATATTTTTCTAGACAATGACAATACTGGTAAGGTAGATAAAGATCTTGATCAACAAGCTGCACCTTCTGTCATCTTTGACAGTGAAAATAGTTTTCTGCAGTCCTGAATTTCCTCTGATGCTTCAAGTACATCAACTTCTAGTATTTCAGTGCTAGCCTGAATAAAATTGCTCAAGATGTTTGCGTTATAAAACAGAATGTTGAAAAGATTGTGGAATCCAATGAAAGGAAACAAAATACTTGCAACACAAAACCTGAAACAAATGACGATGTTAACATGAATGAAAATATTGAAATATTGATTGCTAAGGCGACTTTAGCAAGGTCGATAAAAGAGTCAGCAGGATTCACTTTCGATGAGGAGAAAGAAGAATTATCTTGCTCTGTTTGTGGCACAGTTGACAGTAACAATGATGACAATTCCTCAAAACTGCGGACTACAGGAATTTTTAAATATGAAAAACTAACTGGTATGATATTTACACCTGAAGAAAACCTTCCTGATAAGTTCCAAAATCTTAAAAAACATGTCAAAAGGCACGTTAAGCAATCAACAGCACATATTGAAAATCGTCAATCTCAAATAGAGAAACAAAAGGAAGCAGAAGCAAAGAAAACTAAAAACTATGAGACTGGCATGAACCTTGGTTGCATTTGCTATAAACTGTATGTAAAGGGCCACCCATTTACTGATTATGAAGAAGATGTTTTAATTCTAAAGCAAGCAAAAGCTAATATCGGTAACATTAACCACTCAAGTAAATTCCCTCCCGCATTCTTACCTTATGTTACCAAAGAGGTACAGAGCAGAATTAAGCAATTTATAACCAGCAAACTGCAACAGACTGGTCATAAGCCACCACTTGCACTGTCGCCTGACAAAGCAACTTACAAACATAGATCAAGACAATTTCTTGCAGGTGTTACAATCAGTCCAGGTGATAACTTCCTTGAAGTTATTAGTTTTGGTCAGCCAATTGTGAAATATGGAAGCACTACGTCAGCACTTTCAAAAAACATGAAGGAAGGGTTTGATGCGCTGGGAGTAGAGGGATGTCAGATCGAGAGCACGGTTTTTGATGGTGTGTACTTTCACATTAGGATACAAAAGTACTTTGATGCCATTTACGGGTTACACGAAAGAGATATTCTTTACAGTTACGATACATTACACAAAAGTGGCTTAGTTGACACTCACCTGTGCAAAAAAGAGGAATTTAAATGGGTGGTATCCAATACAGATATCTGTCAGAAGCTATTCAGAATGTTTAACTGGGGATCTAATTATGAAAAGCTGGTTGTTGCTACAGCTTTGTGGAAACTACACCTGACAAGCCTGGTTGGTTTCTCTGAAACAAGGTTTGCTAACAGCCGAAGACAGGTTTACATAAACATACACCACGAGTTTCCAGCAATAATGACTTGCTTAGAAGATCAGATTATGGATGCAATTAAAAATCCAGATGCTCAAGGATCGATCAAGCAAGAGAATTGAAAGGAAAAATTTTAAATGTTCATTTCCTTCTGAATCTATCGGGACTAGCAGATGCCTATGAGCAGTTTGGTGCTGTCGTGAATGTGGCGCAAATGGTGCAACTCCTACCACATGAGAGATATGAGATGTTCATGGAAGCTGTGAGCTTGATAAAATTGCCAAATGTTTGTCAGACTACGCCAAATGTGATTCTTTAGTTATCCCTGGCTAGAAAATAAGATGCCTTTGGCCATTGAATCACGAAGATAAGAAGACGCTTAAAGATAAAAATGAAATTCGAGGTATCCCTATAATTTCAAATTATCGAATCCAAGCAGCTGGTCTCCAGACTCAGACAAGACGAGAAAATCAACAAAACAAAATCAATCAAGGAATTGATGCTGAGAAAAATCAGACAAACAACTACAGATGCTTATAACCGAACTTCACAATGGTCTCAAAACTGAAGTTTATGATGAACAATCAGTAAGAATCATTACACTAACAAAAACAATTCTTGATTTGTCAAAGTTGTCTGTGAAACTGCACCAAGTGGATGGAGGTTACATAAAGATTGCATTAACGAAATTCCCAAACTTTATGAATGCCATCAAAGAGATTCCAATAAGGTCATTGTTAGATTGCCTGAGAGTGCTCTAAAGAAACAGTACACCAAATTCCTGAGAAGATTGGAAAAGTTAACTGTCAAGTATAAACCAGCGGAACTGGAAAGTCTTGATCCAAAAGAACTGATAAAGAATTTCTTTGATCCAGCAGACAAACTTTTTGAAGAGATTGAAATGGTAATGCAAGCTATTACTGTATCTGCCGTTAAGCAATCATGCGAGTCTGTCTTGGAGTCAATGGTGTCAAAATACGGACACCACTTCAGCAGTCAAAGAAATATGGCAGAAGATACAACGAACAATGCATTCTTTGTCGCTGTGAATGGCCCTAGTTTGGGCCACTGTAATAATGTAGTGAAAGCTGCCATGGACAGATATTGGAAATCGAAACAAAGACAGGACTGGCATTTTTATAAGACAACTGTCTTAGAACAATTAAAAGATTTGATGGAAGTTCAAAGGTCTTACACAAACTCTTTTCGGAAAAGAGCAAATTGATGTGTATGGAGTAGCAGTTAAGCCGGTTACAGACAAGCAAGTTTTCTATGACAAGTTTTTATGTGACAAGTTTTATTTGCTTGTCTGTACGCGCAACTTTGACAATTTTTTCTATTATAATTTTTGGCTGGCATGGCGGCGATAAACACCTTCTTCTGACACGTCCACCAGTAAATAAAACTTGTCATATGAAAACTTGTCATACAAACTTTGTTGCATATATATGCACATGCGCTTGGCAAATAAAACTTGTCACATAAAAACTTGTCATAGAAAACTTGCTTGTCTGTAACCGGCTTTAGTCACATAGTGACATAGGTGTCATATACACTCTGAAAGCTTGACTGAAACTCAAGACAAGCAACGTTGGCAACAATTATGTAATATGTTAATGTAACCATAACGTACATGTAAAACATTATTACATGTTCATATTGGTTAAAAGAGCTGTTTATCTCACTCTAGTTTGGTAATCCTAATTTTTTATATTTGCTAAATTGTATATTTGTATTGCTAAAACAACATGAAATGACAGAAATGTTTTTGGTTTTGGGTCTACGGTCCCAGAAAGAAAAATATTTTTTCCACCCCTGAGCTACAGACTGCCGCATCTTGAGATACACTCTCTCAAAAGTTTGGCATCCTGTAGTTTGTAGCCAGAAGCAACGTCTACACTGGACACAGGTCCTAGACCGACTTGTCCCGCTTGTTGACGAGTAAAAACATGTTTGTTGTTCTCAAATTTTTCAAATGAACTGTTTAGCAACTTTTTTGTTGAAATACTTTCCCTTTCCAAAGGCAAAACAGAGGTAGAAATGCCGGTAACGGCCGCAGAACTTTCAGGATTCAAGTGCGTAGTGCTATCATTGTCGTTCACAGGTGTCAAAGTTTCTTGTGGTCTTTTCCCAAAGAGGGGGTAGTTCTCTCCTTTAAAACGAGGGGGTTTTGGTGACTTTGCGCAAATTTTGGGCTCAAAATGACCTTAAGCCTGCCACAGATGAGAACTTTTAGCTTAAGTAATGACCATGTGTGGCCATTAGCTAAACTTTTAAAGTCTTTTTATGTTTGTCGCAAACATTGAGTAAAGTGCTAAGCTGATATCTTTCTTCGCACTAAATTTCAACATGGCAGCAAAATTAAACCTTCATCAAGTTGTACTGCTTTTCATTTTATTAATGTGACGTCGTTGTCGCTGCAGGAGTGCTGCATACAGAACGACGTGGAGCAAAACATGGATTCAGAAACGTCAGGGACACAGTGTTTATGTGACCCTGCTTTGGGAACTACAAGGTTACGACCCAGAGGCGTTTAGGCAATACCCTCGCTTGGATGTAAATTCATTTAATGATGTGTTGAGGATGGTTGGGCCATTTATTCACAAGGAGACAGTAATGAAGCAAGTATTTGTCCCGAAGAGAGACTCAGAGTTACCTTACGTTTTCTAGCTACTGGTATGTTGTGATGTATAAATGCATTAAAGGTTAACCAAAAATCAAGTTCCTGATTTCATGAAACTAATAGCAAAATTAAACTCTAGGCGAATCACAACCTCGTTCCCAGGGCTTTCATGTGAGGACGAGGGGAGAGACGAGAAAGCCCTGGTCTGGGCTGGTCAATTTTGCATTCTGATTGGCTAACACCATATTGTCTAAAAATAACTGAACTTGACAGTTGACAATAACAATTCAACATTTTTATGATTGATTCTTGTGTGTACAAGTATGTTTTGCAAATAATCTTTCAAAGTAAGATGTTTTGCCGACTGCATGATTTACTTTCTCCTAGGCCGATTACAAAACTCAAAAGCTGTGTCGATGTGAGCTGTGATGTTTCCTGACAAAACAAGAAACGTCTACTATTATTTTAGCTGTAGCTTTCCTTGTACAGTATTTATAATGTAGTGCAGATGTCTGATGAAATACTACCATAGAATACTATGCATATTGCATTGTGGTAACATTTTAATTTACAATATTCTATACTGACAAACAATTAAATGGAACTACTAAATTAATTTAGGCCCTGTTTACTTAATAGCTCTACACCTGGGCCGATGTAGTCTCTACAAGATTCGTCACGCCACCAAGTTTTGCAGTTTCAGAATACCCCGAATACTTGAATATTTCATACGATAAAATAAAACATTGTGAAGGGGATAAAATTTGTAGGCAAGCATTGTTCCTGAACGGCAAGTGTTGGTGTCCGGTGAAACAAACGAATCTCTGTATTCCTGTACAGCGTAAACAGGTTACGCAAGGTTTTATATTTGTGTGTATTTATATCGAACTAAGTCAGATCTATAAGAGCATATTTAAACTAAATATTAAAGGCAATAGCCATATTGTTAAAAATGAGAGAAAGCAAATTTCATGTGAATTTACCACTTGCATGGAGATGCCTAGATGCAGCTTGGATGCAGCGTTGTGGTTGAAATTATCTAGAATTATTGGTATATCTTAGAAAATATAGATGGGGGTCTTCAGAGATTTCAGCTGATTCGTGCCAAACTTCGCTACACATAAATAATATCGATTGATTAAGAAGCGTTTTGGCTGTTTATTTGTTTCGAAGACTTGTATATTTCATTAAAAAATATCTCGCCACTCCTTGATGAGTAGCTGTCAAATACTGCATTTTTTGGGTAGTCATGTGACTGGCCCAGACCAGGGATTTCTCGTCTCTCCCCTCGTCCTCACATGAAAGCCCTGGGAACGAGGTTGGGCGAATCATTTAGAAGCCTATCATTCCAGTACAGAATGGGTGAGAGGACAGTATCGGATATCATTAACAAGACATGTCAAGCGATTTTTGTAGCAATGAAGGAACAAGGCGTGTTGTAGAAAATGCATTTGGCATTTTAGCCAACAGATTTAGTTGTTTCTAACAACAATTAAGCTTCGCCCTGACAAAGTTAGTTGACATTATTCTTGCTGCATGTTGCCTACATAATTTTATGGTTGAACAAAACAAGAACAACTATATCAGTGTTCAAGACTTTAAAGATGTTGAGCATTTGAACTTCATGAATGGCCAGTGGAGAGGTGATCCCCAACTGTGTGGGTTGCAAACAAGCTCATCGAGAAATTCGACAACCAATGCAAAAAACCAGTGCACAGAGTTGGCAAATTATTTTTATCTGCTTCGGGTTCCGTACCATGGCAGGAATACATGTGGTCTCAAATAACGCTGATCTCACAAACACATTACAATTATCGTACCTCGTCCAAGTTAGACGTTGTTGACTTTATGGCAATGAATTGCTCAAGAAACTGTAATTTATCCAAGACCCAAGTTGTTCCCTTCGAGGGATTTCTCCTTGCACTTCCGGAAGGTGGTGGCTTTTTCGCCTTTGTAAAGCAGTTTCTGAGGGCTTTGAGTTTATTTTTTACCCAGTCAACTGTTGCAAAATATAAAACCATATGTGACTTTCCTGTTATTGTGTAGAAATACCTGAATAGAATTATATAAAGTCGATAAACAAATAAATAATGCATGAGCATTGTTACCATTTTGATTAACCGCAATTGCAATTACTTCTAAAGCTTTTTGTCGTTTATCTCTATTCTTAAAATCAGCAGAACGAACGTCATAAAGACAGGGGTGATCTGGCCATATTTCGACCAATTTTTCTTCAGTCCTAGAACTTAAAAAATGTAAACATTTTCTGGGGGAGAACACCTGACAGACCCCCCTTTTCTCCCAAAACTTAGTATGAGAGTGTCAAACAATCACAAAAAGCTTTATTATAATTATTACATGGATAATCCTCAGACATCCCCCCCCCCCCCAAATGTCAGATGCTTTGTTACGTCCCTGATGGTTGTATTCGAAACCAATTTCAGTTTTAAGATATCCTTAGTCTGCTCTTCTAAATGGATACATGAAATCACCTATAGCTTATTTTAATTTTTTTGGTGCCAGGTTTGTGAAGTAATTTACCTGCCAAAAAGTAGCAGTTCCAAAAACAAAAAAAAGCATACGATTTGTAAGAATGATATGTTCTATGTTTATGGGATATTTAGTACAAACAGGATGAAAATTAAAGAAATTGAAGCATACTGGTGGCACTTTTGCATGCATTTTTGAAAGGCATGCAAAGACATTTGCAACAGATGCCAGGCGATATGTTGGGTGGGGGCGACATTCTCTAAGGTTCCAGCACATTACCCTGATCCAGGAAATCCTTGCCACTACATGTACGTGTTCAAGACTCAGACTACAGACGGACAACAACAACCTACATGTTGATAACATCGCCCCCTAGAGCCAATCTAAAATATTTTTTAAAGACAGTGCCATTTCATCTGTTGCTAGTGAGGTGAAAGAAGCAACAGGTCGGTATTTTAGTTGAGGAGAAGCACATACTTGAGTACATCAGACATCTTGAGGAACTGCAAATTGTATGTATGATAAGAGAGAATTCCAGCTTGTACTCCTTTGATTCCGAATTGTGGGGGGGGGGGGGCATTGAAAATTTTAAAAACTTGGAGGGGGGCATCGAAAATTTACAATAACCTCAACAGGGGCCCTGTAAAAATATTAGCTTTTTTCAAGACATCTTCATCCCCCTCTCGGCATAATAAATGTACTTTCCCTTAATTAAATCATTAAGTTTATCAAATGCCTTACTTATATCCAAGTAAACAGTTCTTACTTCTTTACCACTTTCAAAAGCATAATAGATTTGGTGAACAAGATATGATAATCAATTTACTGAATCACCTGGTCTAAATCCAGATTGAAATTTATATAAAAAACCTATCTCCAGCAGAAGGAAATCGTAAAGACTATAATGAACAATAATTTTTCACATATTTTTGACAAACAAGGTAAAAGAGGGAGAGGACGATAATTTGACGGTTATCTTTTTTAGATAAAGGTATAACATTGGCCAATTTCCACTTAGTGGGGGATATTGACCTAATGCAAAGAATTTCTGAATTTAGTAAAAATTGATACATCCCTACAGAGCATAACTTAACAGAATCTAACAGCACAGAGAACATAGTACAAACTTTATTAGGAGTAATTCAATATGAACTCCATCATATATTGGCATGTTAAATTTTGGAGGGACTTTAACACTGCAATGTTTAATGCAGTGATTAGCAGTCGTAATTATGGCTACAGTGAAGTTTCTGATAAACCTGGTCCCTGAGGGAATCTGTGTTCCATGGTGATGAAGCATATAAGTTAAAATACAAGGCTGCCCAAGCACAGTTATTTCTCTGCCTCTTGCCATTTATAGTCTGCACACGTCTATCCAATAATGATGAATACTATCCTCCAATTATGGAACAAATTAAAGTTTGACAAATAGTGTTTTCACCAGTATTAGTATGTCTACAATTAACTTAAAGTTGAAGGTTGGTGCACACCTACAAAACTTTGAGGAGCACTTTCCAGAGGTCAACATCACACCAAAGCAACACTACTTGATACATATACCAACAATGATAAAAGAGCTGGGTCCTCCTTATTTGGCATTCATGTTTTGCCTTTGAGTCTGCACAAAATTATTTTAAAGAACTGGCATGTAAGCAAAACGTCAAAAACCTGGCAAAATCCTTGGATGATCACTGCCAGTTCAAAGAATGTTGAAATTTTGCCAATGAAGCACCACATTCATTTGTACACTTTAATTCTTTATATCTTGTTTATGTGTGTATCTTTCTAACAGAAAATGGACAACTGTACTATTTGATGGCGGTGGCTCTTTCAATGACGTACTTGTTAATATACAGGATGGCAGATAATTTGAAATTGGCATTGTAAATGTGCTTGTTTGATCAGCTGGATGATTATTCCTGTTTGCTTGCTCAACTGGACGAGTTACGTAGACCCAGTCGTAAACAGTCTCGTTTGCGGATAGCAATGGCGACTTGCTTTCAAAGACCCACATGTTAAGCATGTTCAGTCTACTCTGAAGCAGTCTAGTTATCTGATGGATACTGTACTTCGAAGATAAATCAATTTCATTGTTATCACAATCCTTCACACAGCATCTCAAAGGTGACTGTATCTTCCCAAGACAAGGATTTCAGGTATTTGTCAGGGAAATCAAGTTGTCATAAATTGGCGCCTGTCTCATAGAAACGCATAAATTTGGTGCTAGCAACATAGTGTTTTCATTGGCCAAACAATCAAAGGAAACGGATGCACCGAAACACTCAACCTAAATCCACAGTAAATAGCTCTGCCTTATTACCAGGCATGCAGCTTCAGCATGTGTACAAGGCAAGCTGGGTTTCCTGTTACAGAACAAAGTTTGAAAGTGGGGCAATTAGGTTAGGGTTACAATCACTTTCATAAGTTGTTGGGACATATATAGTTTTAGATTGTAAGTGGATCCATTACAGTTTGTTACACTCAATACCATTCCCCCCACCCGCGTAGCTCAGTTGGCACAGCATTGGGCTAGTATTCCAAAGGTCGTAGGTTCGATTCCCACTGTGGCTGGGCATATTTTTCAAGCTCACCTGGTGTGGATATACACTCAGGGTAACATCACAAACATCGTAGCTATTTTACTAGAGCTCCTAGAACATATAATTGCTTGCCATCATATATTCGTAATGCTGATGTCACAATTGGCCAATTCAAATCATACTTGTTGAAATATTATCACAAAATGACGGAACTTATATATGACATTAATGTACCACAATAATTTAAAACTATCTGTGTTAAATGTCACTCATGTCGTCCTTTGTCGAGCCTTGTAGATAAAATGTGTTGTAATTGATGTAAATGTTTAGTTTAATGTTTATTATAGGGATCACCAGTCAGTTATGACAAAGCTCATAAATAAATAAAAAATAAATTAAGCCTGATCTATATGCAAGGGATAAAACACATCTATCTGGTTAATTATCGACCCAGATTATTGCTAAATAAAATGCAAGAGTAAGTTATCGAAGACAACTTAAAGATTGTGCATATTTGACACGAAAACATGTATGTAATATAAAACGGTTTGAACATGTGGTCTGTTGACACTCAGTTGTCATGCACTTTGAAACACATAGCATTTTCATTTATTTAACTCTCAATTGTCACAGCATAGTCATTTTCAGAATATTAACTACAAAGCAAAAGTGTTTAGAGAGCACATATTTAATCAATCAATACAAAAAGGGGGTAACATTTGAGTTTTAGTTGTGTGTCGTGATTAGTCCCAAACCTGGCAAATAGAACCAATCTGTGTTGGTCTCAACTGCAATTTTAAGGGATTTAATTCTTAAGGGATAACCAATCAAGATTTGGTCATTGTCTGCTATATCATTCTCTTTAATGTAATCTATTTGGCAGTTGTTGGTGTTCCTAAACACACCAACTGTTGGTGTGTTTAGGAAACATTGCATAGCATGAAATAAATAATGTGCAGCCTGAATAATACAAGAAATGCTTAGTACTGTATGTTTCCCACTTGTCTTATTTGTAGTTACAGAAATAATACAATCGGCTATTGGCAGACATGAGAATGCAGCTGATTGCATGAAGCATAATCTGTTGGAATTGGCACCAAAAATTATATTTGTTGCAGAGAAAAGGAATTTCGCTGCAAAAGAAGCCCTAGAAATGTTACAATTATGTTGTCAACCGAATGATGGTGATATATATGGTTGAAGTTGAAATGACTGAAGGTATGTATACATGTAGCAGAATATATGTTCAAGCACAATCTACCCTTTTAATGACCAAAATTGCATAAAAGTGTGAATGTTTGATCAGATTAATTCAGATTGATTATATTCGTTAATGGAGGTTCATGCGAGAACTGACGAAAAGAGGTTTACTTGTATCTTTATTTTTAGTTGTATTCCCATGCATAAGGCATTAACCGTGTACGAATATTCTTCCATCACAATTTGCTTTATAACTTTTTGATCGGCATCGTCTTTGGGAATCATTTTCACTACACCGGAGGGATAATTTAATAAAAGGACCTAGTAAACCGAAAAACAAATTTCAATAAGGTACTATCGTATATAATGTAATAATAGTAACTACTAATGTGCTGTAATTGAAATATTTAATAAGTTTGTGAATATATTTTTATTTATTTTTTCTTCACACCATGACCAGGCGAGTGAGTTTGCACATCTTTTGCGTCATATATTTTATTCTTTCAGGTTGCTTATTTCTTCAAATGTACTTTCATAGCGTTCCAATATGCGGAAACATTTTTTGTGAACTGGGGAACCAGTAGCCTCGCTAAGGAAACAACCGAGAAGCTTTTGAAGAAGCATGTTATATACATCTCGCGTTTTTAGTTTCCCCCAAAGTTCTATAAAGTCCTCCTTGAACAGATAATACAGACTCCCCACAAACATGACAATTTAAATCATCAGGTAAGCGTTTTTGTATATAATTTTCACCGGTGTGACAGGCAAACTCGTTGAGAAGCGAAGCTAAAATTGTGCTATGAAATCGCTTCGTGAAATTGACAACTTTGTTTACAGTATGTTAGAAAAAAAACATTAATTGAAAGGCATTGCCTTGATCTTTCTGACAAGATTACACACATTTTGATTGGTTAGCAGGAGATCAAACAAAACAGTAAAATAGTGTGGTTGGTTCCGGAGGTTTTTCCCACTTGCCTCTCTGTCACTATATTTTGCGGGCGTGGAAAAACCTCTGGCACCCAGGGTATTGAACCATTTGATACTCTGCCACCAAGTACTATTCAAGATGAAGAATGTCATGTATCAAACAGTGCAGCCGATGGTAGTGGGGATGAAGTGCCACCACATTCTAGTAGAGATGAAAGACTTGAAAATCACTGGATGCAATGCCAGACTTGATCACATATCTAATCACGAATGTGTGTCCATCTGGATTGACAAAAAAAGAAGTGATGAATATCAAAAACCAAGCCAAAACTCACCAATGGGACATTAAAAGTAAGATATTCAATATTCTACCAGCACAGTGAATTTATTTGGCTACACTGTGTAGCTAAAGATAGTTGATGCACACTCTGTTGAAAGTAAAATTATATGGGGAACCACATTAGAACCATACCTAGTATACACAGCCAAAAACACATCAGGTTGTTGCAGTATTGATGGCTGAACATTATTGCAACAATGCGGTTATCATGGTTGAACAACATTGCTGAATCAGCAGTACTGTTCATTGTTGTTTCAACAACGCTGTTCAGTATTGACAAACCAACAATAGTTGTTCAAAGTTGTTTCAACAGGTAAAAATTGGAATGATGGAACAACCTTGTTAATTGCTGTTTGAACATTATTGTTCAGCATTGTTTATTGAAAAGGCTAGAACAATATTGTTCTGTCAACCATGAACAATGCTGATGGGCCAACAGATTGTTTTGCGTTGTTTGAACAAGTATGAACAATGTTGTTGAACTTTGCACACGTCACATGTTTGTCACATGTATAGCCCTAAGGTTTTTTAAAGGATAAATAAGGATACCTTAGGCGTTATGAGGATAAATTAAATTACATTCAGTTTCAACCATACCACATGTTTCAACCGTTTGCCTTCGCGTTTTTCGAACGTTCAGTGAACTTTGTTTCAAGAAAACTGACTATTTTTAACAACTGATATTCACAGATGCATTCCCTACTTGGAACTAATGTTGTTTCTGAAGCTGATAACAAATGATCAATGAAACAAAATGGGATATAACCGCAAAAATGTTGTATTTACAGGTAATGTTGATCAGACTATTAAATATACTTGATCAGACTGCTGGTTTTAATACTTCATGTGCAAGCTGTTCAAGGTGCTCTAGCTAGATTACCACATATAAAGTGTTATAAAAGGTACCATTTTAATATTTTCATTTTATCTTCAAAATTTACAGTAAAACTAATGATAGATGGATAATATTTTTAATATTATTTAACACTATTTTCAATATTATTTTCAATATTATTTAACATTATTAATGAGAATATAAAGTATATCTTTAAAAAGTTAACAAAGGTACATTCCATTCAAATTCCACCATTTTGTAGAGCAGAGAAATTTTGCCCAACTTTTTGCGATTGATCTTATAGTTAATAAACAGCCCACCCCTCTCACTTAAAGTTATATCTTTGAATTTCCACACTCAGTATGGGCCAGTTTGGATGGTCCAAACTCCTTATTAAGTAACTAAGGGCACACAGTGTTGCATAATTGTTTCTCATCCAGGACTGTCCCCAAAAGTTTATGCAGGCAAGTAGTCATAAACCATTATTCCTTCATGGTGTTTTGTTTTTCATGCATGCTCGTACAAAGCAATGTGTATTAAATGTGTTGCGATAAACTAAAAAGCATCTAATATAGGAAAGATGTGGTATTTTGCAAATAAATTTGTTTTGTATTATAATGGTCATAATAACCATCGATGTGACTGTCTAGAAAGCTATATGTGGGTTAGGGATGATTAACTCATATGCAACAAATAGTGGCCTATTTATCAGATGAAGTTCTTCCCTCACAAATATATAAATTTCGACAAATGATAAATTTGTTTTTTTGAAGGCCAATATATATATGTAACTTAGGCATCTCTAAAAAGGTGCATGTGGATATTGAAACAGAATTTGCCAAAGAGACCATCATAAAATAAAAACATTTACAGAGGACTTTAAAAAACTGTTTATTCCTCTTCCGCGAGGATGATGTCCCAGTCTATCTGGGTGGGTCCTCTGGCTCCATATTTGTCCTCGGACCATTTATAAAACAAGAGCCAAAACTTCTCATCTTTCTCGCAGTGGTGTATGCCAACAGCTGTAACATATGTTTTCTGGAAAGTGGATAATGAAAAAAATATTAAGTATTGAAGGTCAAACTAATTTTTCTTCTTTATCACAATAGATTTTAAACCTTTTGGTAACTATGTTTATTGGGTAATCATTGGAAAGTATCAGTATCAATGTCTGTCAATTGTCAGGTCCTTACCACAAGAGCAATGTTTCGTTGAACAGTGGTTTCCAGTACCACATTAAATTTGACCCCGAGGAGGCCACAGATCTTGGCTGCCAGTTCTCTTGTAGACGCTTGTCTTAAAGAAGACCAAGTTCCTACTGCCAGAATCTAAAAGATGTCACCAGAAACAAGGTAACTTAAGGTTACTTACGATAAGCTAAATTAAAACATTTGATAGCATGCTTTACCCTTCTCCTTTCCTCTGCTCTCCAGCAGGTGAACTTCGCCTTCTCAAAACGCTCGGCATGAAGAAGGAGTTCTTGAACTGTGAGACCATATGGGGAATTGGCAAATTCTTGACGGAGTTGTTCCTAAATATAACCAAGCAGAAATTGCTAGCAAATGCTGATATGTTAGAATATAAAATTTAATTTTTTTAATTTAATGAATGCTTTATATGACACTAACAGTTTTGCTTTCATTTGGCTTTTGGAACCGTCCAAGTTGTATATATGCTTTAGCACATATTTTGGTCACATTTGCCTGAAATAAAAGACAGAGTTTAAAAATCTACATATTTATCTATTCAATGATAAACTATTGCAGTAATGTACTATTGACAATGAACTAACAGCATGGGAAGACTTTGCCAATTCAAAGTCTTTTGTGTCGAGCTGTTTGGTTATTCTAACCAAAGTCTTTTCCATCTCACTCTGTTTCGCTTTTATAGACTTCATGAGGTCTTTCAGCTCTCTAAGTTCTTGAAGCACTGCATTTTCCTCAGATGGCTCCGCCTCTGGTTCGTCTGAAAATATAAGTTTAATTCGTTTTTATATAAATTCTGAGTGTTATTGGAACATTATACCCATTTGTATTTATTTTATTTGTATAAATTCTGAATGTTATTAGAATATTATGCCTATTTTTTTATTGTTTTATTTATATTTTTATTTATATCATTATATAAACATTCCGGGCCGTACGCAAATTTGTGTTTTAAAAGTCAAAACTACCGAGTCTTGGAAGCTCATTTTGCTTGCAGACGGAGTTTTATAATTATTTATTAGAATTATATGTTAAAAAACACTTTACCTTCAAAAGGGTTTTGAGGGAAATCCTGTCTTCGGTGGCCGGGCCTATTGCTGTGTCGAGCGCTGCCTTGTGTCTCGCCGAAAAAGACGTCGTTAATAAACTCCGTATTTCTATTTAAAAATTAATTCCTTATCGAATACAAAGAATATAAAAAACATGGTAACACTTTTAAAAAAAATAAAGAGTACTTTACATGTTTGGCATCCCAAATGCTCTTCCAACAGGTCCAGACATTTCGATAAAAAAATTTTCACCTTTAAAAGTTTTCAGATTAAATGCCCAAAACATTGAAAACAAAGAGAGGCGGGAAACCGTATTAACCAATGAGAGCAAAGCATTTGTAAACACTGTCCTTTGATAACCAATCAAAATCCCCTAAAGGGAAAACCATCATAATCTGTCGAGAGTGCGATTTCAAAGAGGGATATCAAAAGGGATTAAAAAAAATGAAAAAAAGGGCATGTCGTCATCACTGTAATTTGTGCAATGTTAGTTTTGAGACGTGGGAAAGATATTCCGTTCATGTTTCGTCGACAGGACATCTTGTCAAAGAGCTGCCCTCCGCGGCCATGCCGTCAAATATTCAGCTTGTGCCCGATGAACAAGTTCTGGGTGACCTGGTCTTGGATGATGATGAGGAAGTATTTAGACTGGAAAAAAACCTCTGCTACCTAGCTGCAACAAGATTGGGAATATACGGGCATAGACATGGAATATACGGGTATAGATTTGGACGACGAAGACCTGTCGGATATTGACAGCATAAAGTGAACATTTGCGTGAGACCTCCAGCGACAATTCCAGTCATTTTCCATTCCCATCCGAGATCTTTTTCCTGCTTTACAGTTACGTGCATAATATTTCAAGACCGAAGGTAACATAGATTTTCTTAAGTCTAAAATGTTCATTTTTTCAAAATTTGAGCGAACAACATTGTTCAATGCTGTTGCGAACAGTATTGTTCAATGCTGTTAACAATCGAGATCAGGTTGTTCTTTATCAATGCTCAAATGTCCATTCTTGTGCAAATAGCTCACGTTAAAATTTGTTCACGTCTAAAAAGATTACTTGGGCGCATACATGCACCGAATTCTTTTTCATATTATAATAATAATTCAAAGAAAAATATCAATACTGGTATATATAGAATACAGCAGATGTCATATGAGAAAGAATTTCGGTGCATGTGTGCACCCAAGTATAAATCTTTACAATCCCATAACATGTTAAAGAACATTTAACAAATTATGCAAATTGCAATATCTGTACTTTTTAGACGTGAACAAATTTTGTTGTCACAGTCAATTCGCAATACACTAAATGTGCCATTGAAATGCAAAACATTGTTCAAAAGTGTGTTATTTGGTGTGGATGCAAATTCATAATCATGCGAGCTTGCTCATTGTTGTGTAATTATTGGATAAATCCTGTGATTCTATCCAAAAAAATTGTTTACACCTAAAAATGCAGCAAAATTTCATTTGAACGGGCTTTAATTTTATACATTTTCCCCCAGAAAAGTCGCAATTTCATGAATGGTAAATGATGCGGGTTTTCCCCATATGTCAACGAACACACATGTCCAGGGTTTTGTCGATGGAATTTCGACAGAAAATTTGTAATGAAATTATTTGCATTTCCATCAACAGAAAGAAATTTCCATCCATAAAACCCTGTACAATTTGTGTAATATGAAGTAAGATGCCCAAAATTTAATATATAATTTACCCTTATCAGTGAATCATACAGTTATAAATATGTAGACAAGTGAAATTTTTTTTTAATTATTAAATAGTACTTACTTTGTATTATACAAATTATAAATTTGTATTTGCTAGACTATTGAAGCGACCAGTCATTTTTTATGGAAGGTGGGAGAGGGCAAAAAAAAGGGGGGGGGGCATATGTATAAATAAATAACTAGAAGATGAGGGGGGGGGCTATTTAAATTTTTGCAAAAAATGAGGGGGTTTGCAATTAAATAAGCCTTAATAAGCCTGGTATCCATTTGGTTGTAAATGTTGTGAACGAGATCATGGTCACTGATGCGAAATAGTCCAGATTTATCTTGTCTTTTGTGTGCTGTATATGCAAATCAGTCTTCACCAATTGCAGAGATAAATACTGATAGCAGATATCTCTATTTGACAAGTAAAAGAGAAAATGGGGGGGGGGAGGGTCAAAGAAAAATATTCTAGTATACAGGGGGGGCACCATTAAATTTCTGTTCTTCCAGGGGGGGGGGTCAATTTTAAAAATTTAGGAAAGAAAAAATTCCCCTACCACCTCCATAAATAATGACCAGTCCCTAAGATGCAGATTTTTTAGTCCCGTGTAGATTTGGATTTTCTCTGGCTGATTTTTCACAAACTCAGAGTAGATGTACCTTCACTGCACTCAATTTTGAATTTTAAAATAAATGAAGTTGAAGAGATGCTACAACCTCAAAAGGTATTATTCTCAAACAAGTCAATAAAAGGGAAATGTAGCTACAATTCTCATCAAAAATTATACATATGAAGTTTTTTGATGGAATTCATTGCTGCTTTAGGACTATTTCGAAGGTAATCCATACTACTGGCTGCAACCATCTGATATTGTCAGGCTTCAGCTGGCAACACCCATCAAAGCAAGAGCACTGATGAGATATCCAGAGGAGACTGACTCAAGTATCAGTGAGATGTACCAGGTTATGATATAACTGTACAGTATGAAACAAATTAACTGACTCCAGCAAGGGGTAACTGCAGTAAAATTAACTGGAATTAACCAGAATTACGTCATATTTTATATATGAGTTAACATAATATTTTCAAATGTTTTCGAAACAGGGGAAAAAGTGGTTAGAAAATGATCAATTCAAAAGTCCATCTGTTTGCAAGGAAGAAACAACATATTTAAATGAAATTGTTACTTTCTCTTTGAATGGACATGTATATTCAGGAAAACTTTCCAAATTTTATGTTAAGGTAAAAGACCAATTAATACTCTAGCATTAACCCTTTAAGTGGCAATGCCCCCAGATGCACCCTACATTATTTATATTACTTTACTAGATGTCTAACGCCAGACGATTTTATTCGTCAGGGGGAGAGTGCTGCAACTCATTGGATTAAAGAAACAATACAATACTGACATGATACTCTATTTCTCTCACTTTTTGTAGGTTCGTTAAGACCAAACAGAAGAACTTATGGCAAAGATCCAATACCTATATGATAAAGGAAACGACCATTATTGTATTTGCCCAACAGAGACAATTGCTGTGTCAGTGTCACAAATAATAGATAAGATCAACATCACTCCACATCAGATACAACACAAATATGAAAATGGACAAGTTTTTGAAGTCTCTGAGCAGGTTTGATTTTATGTGCATTGGCTTAAGAGTTAAGGATGGTATGTTTACACACAACGATTAATCAAGCCGATTCAGCTTTAAGTAAACAATATTTGAAAAATATACTGTCAGCATCGTCTGACATTGTCAACTGACAACATTCGTTATTAACATTCGTCAAAACTTGAAATTGGTCCGATTAATCATTGTGTGTAAACTAAGCTTATACAGTTATTTCATTTTGATACATGTGACTTTCATTCATAGGAAACCAGAGAATTTTTGAAGCCTCATGAGATGAAGACAATAGGTGAAGGTAAACCAAGCATTACAGTACCTTTACTTGTGTTCAGTGATGAAACTAGTGGAAATACAACAAAAAAATGGAATTGTCTGGAAAACTTTTCCATGAGCTTTGCAGGCCTTCCACGAAGAGAAATCAGGAAAATAGAGAACTTAGGGGTTAGGTGTCAATTGGGACGAGAGTCCTGTTCCTTTCCCCTGTCACGATTTGTATCTGTCTTTATTTGTCTTTAATTAGTTTGTATCGTGTATAAAGTGACAAATTCATTATATTATTATATATTATTATTATCCATTTTCTGTCCACATCAAATGTTGTGCCATCTGTTCCACTTGGAAAATCTATCGCCAGTGACCTACAAGGTACATAATGCAGTAGCCTTATAGAATTGTACTATTCATGTCCAGTTGACTTTACACATTTCAATATATTCTAACTTTCTTCTAGACTCATGGGGACCTTATTGGCATTATTTGAAATATAGTGTTTCCAGCTTTCAAAAATGTGTTCACGAAATTAATATGAATGTAATGAAGAGTAAATTGAATTGAGTGGAGTGCGATTTTAGTCTGAAAACTTGTGATTTCAGACCTAATAATACACACGAAGAAATTTCTCAATGGACCTTTTTAAAAAGTCTGCCTTATGACGTAGTTTGCGGATAAATACGATCATTTGGCCAATTTCCATTATCTGCAAACTATGTCACAAGGTTGACTTTTAATTAAAAAGGTCTATTCTGATTGGCTAAGAGCAGTGTAATTTTTTAGTAATACAGAGCCAAAAAATTAAATCCTCTATTTCATGTGATAAAAGTACATACAATATTTATAGGAATTATAGTATGGGCTTGATCAGAGAATTAAAGGGGATTGTGGGTTATCAATTCATGTAATACTGCAGTAACATTACCTCATGAATTATTGAATTATAAATTACTACCTTTCAGAAATTGAAACTGGCAAGATAATGTACGATGCCAGCATTGATAAGAATGTTCTTGTGAGGTGCCCTGTCTCGAGTGTCTTCGCAGACAATCCACGAGCTTCAGAATTCGAGCATCACTTGGGTAGCTGTGCAAAAAAATTTTGCCGAAAATGTAATGTGAGTGGATGTGTACAGTATAAAACATTATTTTCATAAATTAGATTTTTAATATTTAATAGCGACTGTCTGTAAAAATCGAGCAAACAGTGGCAATAGATGAAAAATGGATTTCTTTCATATTTTGCTTAAATTTAGGTAATACCTAGTTATAAATGGTGTTTGGGTTAGATATTCAATATTTGGTGGATAAACGTACAAATATCAGAAATCAAGAATTTGTCTCCGGAAGGCTACAATTAGCTGCAAACAACGCTGTTGGCACGGTCGATTTCATCACTTTGCGACGGATTCAAAACTGACCATAAATAGTTTTGATGGTTTAATGACTATAATTCAAGTATTAAAGAACACTGTTATAAATATAGAATGGTCCAGGAGGCTTTAACTGGCCTGACAAACGTCGTTGAAATTGACTATATTTAGTCAAATTTGAGAATTGCATTTTGTCACTGGATTTGAAGGGGAAATTTACTATGTGCGATAATCGTAAATTTGTTTACATTTCAACCACGGAATGGTATAGCATGAGTACATGTTATATATAAAAACTAGCTTGGGTTATTGCCTTGGAGCCTCACACGAGACTTTTAAAAAAGCTCATTTTGGTGATTTCCAGTGGAATGTAACACAATTAAATCATTAGGCCTATACGTCTATACAAAGTCATGAAGCTCAAATTGTTCAAAACTTTTAATTTTGTGTTTCGATATCCAATGTATATGCTTTGTGTACTTAATATAGAAACGTTTAGAAGGATTTTCAAGATATTTTAGTGATAGGCTTACTTACAACAAAAGCACAACAAATCATCATATTATATATAGACTGTAACGTTGCTATTTATAGCAATTTGCCGGTTGTTACTGAATGTATATTTAATATGTCTGTCTGTAAACTAGAGTGTGCCTGAACTATGCCCAAGCAAATTTTTATAGCGTTTGATTATTTTGTAATTTATACCCTACAAGAT